TAGCTTGCTTTTCTCAAGCTGGTTTTCTTTCACAATAACTGCACCTCAAGCTTCTGCTTGATCTGATTGAGTGTGTGTGTGATGAGGGGGGCTATGCCTTTCTCCAGCAAGGGACGGGAAATGTCCCCAATCTACCTGCAGGAGCTATTCTGCCTCGGAGCAGAACCCAAGGATACAGGTGAAAATGTGTTCAGTCATCCCTGTGAGTGCCAAGAGCTTTCTCGCATCAGGTACAAGCAACGGTACCATGGCGTGTTGGGACATGAGGTTTCAGTTACCCATCTCCAGCCATTCCCACCCTTCCAAGGCCCGAATCAGACGCCTGCTCATGCATCCTGTCTATCAGTCCTGGGTCATTGCAGGTAAGAGATGTCTTGCACTTACCTAGCAGTGGTCAAAGGCCGTGATGAAAGAAGCTTCTGTTTCAAGTTCTGCTGCCAAAGCTGGGGCCTTTTTGGGTTTTCTCTCTTGCTTGTGCTTTCCCTGAGGAGAAGGGAACATTCATAATAGTGCTAGGCCACTGTGCCCTTCCTGGCTTTTTTAAAAAAATAGGAGAGATGGAGGGAGGGAGAGAAGCTTTCATGAGGATGACAGACTTTAGGATTCTCATCTTCCAGACATGGCAAATCTTATGCAGTTCTTTGCACTCTGTGCTCTCTACCACATCTTTTTTGGAGCATATAATGCTACAAAAAAAAGAACCTAAACTCATGACATCTATTGAGGTTAGTGGGAATTCTGCCCCTGCCCTCAGTGGGTTTAGGTGCTGAGCCTCAGACTGGTGGAAAGGGAAGCTAGGTTGGACACTGAGCTAGCTCAGTTCCTTGCCTAGCTCTCCCTTGCATCTAACTCAGCTGTTTTCAGGCTTAGAGCTTTTGTTAATGCCCCAAGACTCTTCACCTGATGCATTCACAGCTCTTCACCCTCACTGCATGTGGCACTGTTTTCTGCTGTGCTACTTTTGGGAAGTACGTTATGTGGCTCTGTAAGGAACCCATTCCAAAATGGAAAAAGAGCTTAAGCTAATCCTGCAGGAACAGAGCTGCTAAAGTTGCTAGAAAATAAGAGTAATTCAGGCTTCATATTCTAATTGAAATTGCTCTTAGCTAAAGTAAGAAGTCAAACCTATGAACCATCATAGGAACTAAATATATTTCTTGGGGGGGAAAAAAGCCATGAAAACAGTGCATACTTCTCTGTGCTTGCTCACCCCTGCTAAAGAATAAACCAGTGATGGAGTCTACCATTCGGGGATATTACTAAAATGTGCTAGGCTGATGTTAAGTATGTGAACAGACCCTTTAACAGACTGTCTACAGTCTGTTGGTTGCCTGCATGCAATGACACATGGATGTGAAACTTCTGTGTAGCAAAGGAAGCCTATGAACTTGCATTGCTCCCTTAAACTGCCCAGGAGTCATCTCCAAATTCCCTCGTGGTGAACAGGGATGAGAAGTTACCTAGGGAGGGAACTGCACTTTTATTTGTATGTGTTGGCAATGTCTTCCCTGTAGCCGTTCAAGGCAATAATGAAGTCTCCATGTGGGATATGGAAACTGGTGATCGACGCTTCACACTGTGGGCCAGCAGTGCACCTCCTCTTTCAGAACTGCAGGTCTGGGATCCTTTTTATTTTTGCTTTTCTGTTTTGTATCCTGGGATGAAACAACCTCAGTCTTTATGCTGTGCATGGCCTTGTCAGTCTGGCAGTAGAAACTTGCTCTGGGATTTATTCTAGCATTATAATTGTGTTTTGCTGTCAAAATCAAATTCCTCTTGTGAAACTGCAGCATAATCTGAATCCTTGCCGGTGTCTTCCGCTGTCTGTGGAATACACATGTGATGCTCACTTGCCATATCCTGTTGTGTTCTCACAAAAGCAGTGAGCCAGTCAAGCCTGATAAGGTTTTTAGCAAAGACAAAATTCCCAGGATGGTGCTCTGTGCTCGCTTTTATTCTCTGTTTTGGGAATTGTGAGCGTCTGTTGTTTTTCCCACTGCTGCTATATTTAGCTGTAAGTTTAGACAGTGAAGTTCCTCTGTTTTTATGAGTTAATTGTATCTTCCATACAACACAAATACATAGATAAGAAAAACCACAGCTTTCTTCTGCAAATGTTATAAATGCAGACCTGCCATTTACCTAAACTTGAATTTGTACAAGCTACAAAGATTGCAGGTTTGTTTTAGTCACTCGCTTTGCAAAACCAAACAGGGAATTTCCATTCAACTTGTTTTCTGTCATGCCCCATCCCTCCTGCTTTCATAACTTAAAGGTTTGAGCCTTCTTCTGCATTTCAACGTGACTCACCTGCATCATTCTGTTAAAAACAATCTCTCTCATTTGTCACTGTGGAGATTGCTTTTGGAATCTTAGAAATCCTGTTAGGAGGACTTAAGGCTGTTGCATTGCTCTGTGAATGATAAGGAACAAAAGGCAGCATTTTGCCTTTGGTGTGTTAAGGTGTGACCTATTAACTAAATTAACTTGGCATGCTACGTTGTCATAAACATTTCTAAAACGGTTGAATGATTATGGTAAAGAAGAAAAATGAATATTTTCTTTTTCCCTCCTAGCCTTCTCCTCACAGCATCCATGGGATATACTGCAGTGCAGCATCTGGTAATCCTATATTACTGACAGCAGGCTCAGACATGAAAATAAGGTAATAATAATAAAAAAAAGGTGGCAGTTTATTTCTTTTCTGGTGCTCCCCGCTCTTAGCCTCACGCCGCCGGTGTATTTAACTCTGCCAAGCATTGCCTGAGCACTTCAGTGTCCTTGTGGTGGCTTTTGGGAGAAGGGTTCCCTAGGAAGCACGGGTCACCTGAGAGACCTGCGTCCTCAGCAAAGCAGCGCGGAAGCCGGCGCCTCCGCGCGAGGAGCAGCCATGCGGGCCGTGGCGCGCGGTTCTGGCCAGGCCCCGTGGCGGGAGGGCAGCAAGTCGGCCTGCACGGGCCCCGTGTGAGCATCCAGCCCTGCGCCCAGCTCTCCCACCGAGCGGAGGAGTGCGGAGCTTTTGCGCCCCTTCGTCCTGCGGTGTGAGCGGGACGGCTTCTCAGAGCAGGGACTAAGCTCACAACAAAACTTAGCCCCACAGCGTCCTTCTGTTTCTTTGCTTGCAGGTTTTGGGATCTAGCCTATCCTGAGAGATCGTACGTGGTAGCAGGAAGCTCTAATTGCCCATCGGTTTCTTACTACAGGAAGATAATTGAGGGCACAGAGGTGGTTCAGGTATTTTGCCTTTTTTGACCTTTGAGATACTCTTTGGATTAGGTTAATTGCATGATGGCTTTAACTGGAACTGTCTTTTTATTGATGGTGTCAGGATTTATGTTTTGAGCCACTTAGGAAGAGGTCATTTTAAAAGAAAAAAAAGTTCTTCATGACAAAATTAGACTTACCAAATAATATTTGTTTACAGGAGCCAGTCATATGTTTTTTGGGGGATATTGTTTGTCTTAATACTTTTGACTTTGGTCCATCTTTGGAATGTCTCTTGAGTAGGATTTGAGCAGTACAATTCAGGACATCTACCGGGAGAAGAGCACAGTATTTTTATAGTGGAACTCAGTATTTTTTAACCCAACCCTCAGAATAACTTCTGGGACTGGCAGTTTTGCTAGTTATTGCGGAGAACAACGTTATGTTTCAATGTCATTGAAGTAATGTTGCTTCAAAGGTGACTCTAAAAATTACTGAAACATCTTTACCTATCCTCCACAATATACAGATGGCCTAGTTAACTTTTCACATAATTCATTCCTCTTATAAGAGTTTAAAAAATTGAGAGAATCCAGGGCAATTAGAGTTTATCTGTGGACTATAATAGCAGAGAGCATTTCATGTGGAGTTCTTAATCTATATTCCTGTTATAGAACCTGTGTTTGAAAAACAAACAAACAAAAAAGCCTCAGAAAGACAAAATACGTCATGTTGTGGCTTTCTTATTCAATATTATCAAATCATTATAGTTACTGTGTCACTGAAGTAAATGAGCTGTAGCTATGATGAGACAGCTGTCTGTAGTGTCAGTTCCAAGACCTAGGTTTCGAGGGAGAAAGAACCAAGCCTAAGAATAATCACAGGAGAACCATCAAGGGGTTCTTGTGGATTCTTTTTTTTCTCTTTTCTTTTGGGAGTGTGGAATTCAGAAATATGGGTGGTCTTACACAGGCACATATGAGGGACTGTGTGTTTTTACAGATGCTCACCTTGCTGAATATAGTTTTTGATTTTTGTTTCTGCATAGGAAATTCAGAACAAGCAGAAACTGGGGCCCACTGATGAGACCCCTCGGAGGGGTCCAGAATCTCTTCCTGTTGGACATCATGATATTATTACAGATATTGCAACTTTCCAGACCACTCAAGGGTTTATAGTAACTGCATCCAGGGATGGAATCGTTAAAGTATGGAAATAAAAGTTGCACTAATATATAATATGTAAATATTTGTAATAAAGAAATGGTGATATAATGAAGTTTTTGAGGACTGTTTCCAGATCATGGAATAGAATGGACTTTAAGGAGGGTAAAGGTGATGATAAAGCCATTTATCACTATGTTGCCACCCTGTTAAAAGCACTTCTTAATCACTCATTTTATTAAAGATATTTGGTATCTGTAGCATTTCTTTGAAATACTAAGTGGTTTATGAAGAAAATGTTTAGCCTAATGAAGACTACATTGAGACTCTTTCAGAAAATTATTTAAAAGAAGTCCCACATTACAGATTATAAATGTATAAAAAAAGCAAACAACTGGTAAAACTGCTTCAACCTCTGATGTTTCCTATGTTGAATCTGAGAAATGAAGTAAGAACCAGTTGCACTAATGTCCATGCATATTGTAATAAGTATAATAAAGTCCACTTGAGCTTCTGCGCTTGGTCTGGGTCTGTTTTAATCTGCTCTTTCTTGTTTTACTCTCAGTTGCCAGAGCTGGTGGGCTGTTAATCCCAAACTGTATTTCATGGGTCTTGCTTTAAGCCTGAATCTGATGCTCGGCCTCAGGTGTCCTGGCAGCCTCGAGCAGCCCTCAAGACCAGGAAGATGCTGCTCTTTCTCCTTCAGCTTGGAGATGAAAAGTAGCCAAAATACAAGCTTTCTGCAGGAAGTATTTCCTAACCATGCAGCGTTTGTGTGAAAAGCGGCCCTGGAGGTCAAAGTTAGAGAGGGTGAACATGCTCTATCTAGGTGTCCCCACCGGAACAGGGAGGTTGGACTAGGTGATCTCTAGAGGTCCCTTCCAACCTCAACCATTCTGTGATTCCCACCACTCCTCTGCCCTCCAGGCCAGATATTCTAATTTCTGCATCTTCAGTCTTCTCATCTTAAGGATGAAATTACCTTATAGTGTAACGCATATCTGCATTTTTGTGTTGTGCTTTAAATGGATAAAGGTTATTTACCCCTCAGAGAGGTTATTTATCTTCTCTCCATGGTGGAAGGTCGCTGACAACAGCACTCATCTGTTCAGCTGAACACAGCACGTGTTCAGTAAGGACAGCTGGGGAAAAGTGGGAGCTTACTGCGCTGCAGAGTGTCTGCCAGGAGCAGAGAATACCCTTAATTTGTGAATGGGCATCTCCCCAAAAGACAAAGATGGAGATACTTTGCTTGCTTAGAAAGACTCTTAGAATTCACTGGAAAAAAATGGACTTAATTGAGTAGAACTGCTTTTAGAGACCCTTTTCCCCTGTTTTAATGCAGGGACTGCATTAGTTGGGTAATTTAGTGTAGTGGGGAAAGCTAATCATAGTTTGACCTGTTCAAAAAGTGGGCTCAGGAGCAGCATGGGCTCTCTGCACAGCGTCTTGGGATTCCAGTACTGCACAGGTTCTTCTGCCTTTCACAGAAGGGAGAGGAGTTTGGAAGGGAGAATGGGACAGGGATTTTTTTTGTTTATATATGGGAACTAGTACTGTATATGAGATTAAATATTTCTCCGTCCTGTTGCATAAACTCAGGAGCTAGTTTTGCTTTCTCCTAGTCCAGTTATTTTGCTGAATAACACAGAGAAGGGTGATAAATTAAGCTTGCACCACTGTTGTGTCCATTTAGCAAGGATAAATGTGTGTGTGTATATATATATAAATATATATATATATATATATAAAACTAAGCAGGTCTTATATACCTGGAAAGAACTGCACTGGTGGGTTGGTGCTTTTGGCCACTGACAAAATGGTTTGATGTAAGGAGTAGAGCATGTCTTACCTTCAGTTACTGTAATCCACTGACATCATATGAAGCTCGAGGTAAGATGTTCTAAATAGCATCAGACACAGGACGGACGGCTGCAATATAAAAGCGTTTGCACTGTAAGGTTCTCTCTTTGCAATGTTACATGGTTCTTTTCAACAGCTCATTAGAAGGTTACATGCAGAGTCAAGCAACGAAGCTTAAACAAATGTAAGAATCAGCCTGTTTGTTACGCAGGGAGCGTGGCTTTTGGCAATAGCCACTAAAACTATGGAATAAAAATAAAAATAATAAAAAACCCACAATATCTCTCTTCATGAGAAATCCTGTAAGGCTTCAGGACCACAATTTCTAGGGAACTGAGTTTTGGCCCAGCTTTATCTTTGTGTTTATAATGAACAGTCCCAAATGACCTGATAGCTTAATCCTATTCAGGGAGAAGCTACTTGAGTTATAAGAGAGTCCTATGAAAAAAAATGAATTTAGTGTCCGTGTGCTAGGAAATTTTAGGGAAAGAACAGGATAATACACTAATGAACAAATCCATGGTGCCACTTTGCTTTGAGTAAAGTGTGCAGCACTTGTCTCCAGTCACAAAAATATGCATAATACAATTATGACAGGCCCAGGGAAGGCTTGTTTGGAGCAGTTTCCATAGAAAGAATAATTCAGTAGACCAGGAGTCTACAGCTGAGAAACTGGAAGAAAGATGACACCCATAAGTAGGAAATGACCTAAGATGACTTCTACAGTTCCAGATCAGTGGGATCCCAAGAGTTCTTGCTGCTGGTTGGTTGCCATTTCTATAGGACACTTTTCTGGAACGAAAGAAGAAATTATAATGCATGTGAACAGCAGCTGGGCTCTTTCAGAGCTGGGCTGAACACTACTTTTTCCAAACTTCACCTTGGAGACACACACTACTGGAGTCTCCGAGTCAGTAATCATTACTGGAAGATTTGAGTTTGAGCAGAGCCCATTTTTGGAATCAACAAAATGTCAATCAATCCAGAGCAACTTGGATTTTTTTTTTTTTAACTGCAGTTTGCAAAACGATGTGAATCCAACCACAAGATACAATGGGACCTTCACAATGGAACCTTCAAATGTCAATAGAAAGGAAATACTACTGTTGTCCTAAGCGCCCTGCAGCACCCCATGGTTCACTAGTATCACCCTGAAAGCATTGACATAAATTAGAGGCATAATCTACAGATCCTGAATTTAGCACCCACAAATGCAGGGTTTTCTTGCTTTTGAGATCCCTCTTCTACACATACTGAATGCAAAAATGCATTTGGGCCCAGTCAGGTGCATATTGATAGCTAAGGCAAGATGTTTGGACTGGAGATAACATCACATACAAGATGAATAAGAACAGGTCATGGTGAGAGGATTATTAAAAAAAAATATTAAATAAAGAACTTCCATTGGGATTCTACATTTCCACCTGAAGAGCTCAACGCTCAGCTTCAGCAGGAAACAATCAGCCCCACAGGACAGTTTACCTTAACCAAGCCAGCAAAAAGCCCTTCCTCAGACTAATCACTGTAAGACAAGTATTTTATCTGTTCAATTTGACATAGAAAATGCCCATGTGAGCTGTATGAAACATGAGGGGGGACAAAATGAGCCTGTACTCAATGTGTAATACTGAGAATTATTATTTGGCCTGACCCATCTCATCCAAATCCCAATATTCAACATCAGCCTAAAGGATTTCTGTCAAACTATAGGGGAGCTGCATGTCTGTGACAGACTGAATTTTACACACACAAAGCCCTGGATATGAAGAGACATCTCCCCGCACCAGTGGAAGGAAGATGGCTCAGGAGGCTTCAGCTCGCTCCCTCTCTCCGAGAAGCTGCTGCTGCCTTTCCGAGAGCTGTCACCAACTCCTGCAGGGCTTCTAGACCGCCCAAGGACAGAGTCAACAGAGGTGACTCAACGAACACCCAAGAAGCAGCAGTTTTCCGGTCTACTTCTAGCAGCAAAGGATGTGTGAGCATTCCGGACACGTTCCAAACAGAGCCAGTTAGGTTACCTTTATCTATACTTACTAGTGATAAGCAGGTTCCTTTCCGAGGGGCTCCCAGGGCTTCAGAAACCCTTCAGTGCTCAGCTGTGAGCCACTTTAGGGCACCAGGCAGAGGCTGGCAGGCACCCTGTGCAGCTGTGGCCAGGCAGCAGGGCAGGATCAGCTTCATCCACTGCAAAACTGCAGGGAAAAACCCAGAATCCTGGCGACCCACCAGGAGGAGGACAGGCCTGAAGCTGCTGCCCTCCAGCCCCACATGGCAGCATCTATCTGCCCATTCAAGGATGTCTTAGGAGAGGACATGGGGTGAGAGCCTTGCCCGATATCCAAGCATGACTGCAACTCAGGCGACTCATTAATTTTACCTATATTTAGTAATATATAATAGTATATGATGACTATACATGGGCTCTAGCCTTCTCTCTTCTCACCAGTCTGGCAAGATCACTTATTTCACAGAAGAAAGCACCAATTGCCACTGCTACAGCCTCTTAAAGAGGTTGGTTTTAGCAGATAGTTGCCTTTGAAAGAGGCAACTTTTTAACGCAAGGTATTAAAACTGAAGGTAATTAATAAACTGTTACATTTAATTAACCTTACTTTCGGGATGCTATTGAAACAAATTTCTTTATAACAAGGCATTCCTTGAATGGGAAAGCAGATGTTCCTCCTAGGCAGAACTGCTGAATAAATGGCTCCAGCTGTTTAGCACCACATCTGATGAAGCTTAAAGCAGAAGTTTAGTTTAAGTATTTTTCCTTCAAACAGATTTGGCAACCATGACAATGCAGATGATGAGTTGATTGTAAATAATGATGAAATGCAGCCTTCCTAGGAAACCTATTTAGGGGAATTCAACACAGCAGTAAGAAGGGCAATAATTGTCTTAGCATCTTGTAGAGCTAGAGGAAAACTTCAACCTTTTCTCTTATCTCTCACTTTAAAAAAAAAAAAACACTAAATAATACAGTACTTTTTTTGAGAATTTGAAATATTATATAGCTCTTACCATAGCACAGAGTGCAGAGATTAAATCTATGTAAGGTTTCATTATAAAGCCAACCATGAATGCTTAGCACCTGAAACAAGCCAAAATCATCCACCTGGAAGCAAGAAGTAAAGCTGGTTGCCCGGTGCTGCTAGAGAAGGTACTGCTGCTCATGAGGCATCAGGGCAGTAAAGAAAACTGGCCCATTTACAGAGGCATGCACGATGGACACGGAGTCTATATCCCAGTTCTGGTAGCTTGTTCCTAACTGTGACTTAAGTTAAAATCGTTTTTCTAGTGTTAACATATATACATAAAACCCAAAATCTCATTTGGTTACACATAAGCAAAAGCAAGTTTGTACGATTTCCTCAAGAGTGCCAAGGCTCCTGCAAATTCCCTTATTTTGAAAGTGGCAGAAGACTTCGGATCTGGGTTTGTCTACGTCAGCTCCTCAGCTGACCAAGCCCAGAGGAGATTCTGTATTCTCAAGTACAAAAAAAAAAAAAAAAATGCACGAGACAGAAATAGCATCATATAGAAAATACAATAACATGGACAACACTCTCAGCAATAGCATCAGGTGAAATAAATAAATAAATATTGAAAGTTCAGGCCAGGGAAGCAATCTGAGCTGATGGCTGCTCCTTTAAAATGCAGAGAGCCCTTGCAGTTTGGGTCCTATCTGAAATATCACTAAGAGTCTGTGCTACCAGATTTCTTGTAATAAAATATTACTTTAAAACTTGCATTCTAATACAGTTGTTTATTCTTAACAGAAAAATTTAAAAAAATCTACCAATGATGCAAAAAAGAAATCAAATTATGAGTAATATCTTAATCTTACTTATTTCTTACCTATTTCATAAACATCCCTACACGTGTTTAGATATATACCTTTATACATGTGTACTGCTTCCGTGCATTTATATATATTACTAACCTGTGAATAAGGTGTTGTGAAGTCTGTCCATGAAGGGCAGTGGCAGGTCAGGTCCTGCTGGGCTTGCTCTTGTGAGCAAGACAGGCGCTAGACAAGGGAGACTGAGTACGTTTCAGTTTCCCATTTGTACCAGGGAGATTCAGTAGGTTTCAGTCTCACATCTGCAAATCTCAGATGAGAGTTGAGTGTAACACTTGAAGAAGGAAGAGGTTTCCTTTCCAAAAATAAATAAATAAATAAATAAAAATAAAACCTCAGCTGCAATAGAAACCACAGGAATGGGATTAAATCAGTCCTAATGAGAACTACAGCGAGTCTCCCTTCAGGGTGTTTCACAAGAAGTCTCATTGCACCTAATGTGGTGCCTCTCTGACCCTGTATATGATGGGGAAGTCTTTGTCCCAGGCATGATTATTAATTATTCGAGCCACAATCAAAAATAGTAGGCTAAAGTAATTCTGGGCATTACACCATGAGTTTCAACTATGTGTTCAAGAAAGGTAACTTAGATTAAAAAACAAACAGTTCTACTTTGTAAAGTAGGAAAGAATGGAGGAGCAGCTCCTTCAAATTCTCATAATCCTTCCTCTGTGGTAGTGTTTCATTTCCACAAGATTACTTATTATTTATAGTTTTCACCAACATTAACAAAACCTGAATCAATAGCTCTGTATACTTACGGTAAAAGCCTTCCACGTCCCACTCACAATTCTCTTCATATTCCCTTTCCTGTATTCCTCACTAGGCAAAAGAACAATTTGCTCCCAAAGCTATCCATATTGCATACTCTTTTTTTCCCCCGCTACGTTTCCACTGAAAAATATCCTTGTTCTCTAACAGATTCTTTAATGCCAAGTACATGTCATTGACTTGGAGTCTTTTTACCTAAAATGAAATCACATGATTTCCTAGAAAATTTTTAATGCATAAATCACATTTCTCCTGTAGAATCTTTTGGCAGCATTAAATTATCAGTTATGAAAATAAATCTCATTTATTAAATCCTTCAGACATGTTTTCTTTACAACAAGCGACCACAATAGAACATCCTTTCAGAAGCTAGTCAGGATAATAAAAAATAACACATATGTCAATGAGCTTTCAGTATGTACCAGTTCACTTTGGAGGAGAAAGTCTCCTTCTGCAACAACTGCAACAGCCCCGTGAAGGGGAACGTGATGACTAATAATTACGAGTATTATTTTTAAAAAAGATAAAAGGCGAAGTCAGAAACCACCTTAGAATAGGTTTTGAACCTTAAGTAGATGCTCTATGAACACTCATGACTCACGCCATACTTTGCAAGGGTATGTTGTTGATCGAATGATTCTCATGTCATCATGAGAAGAGCTACCTTAATACCTTAAAATATAAACACCTCTACCTCAATAGACTAACTCTTACTTCCTCAAAAAAAGAGAACCAGCAGATGAGCCTTTTGCTACCGTTGGGAAGAGAGAGTTTCTAAAATACTTTGCCAAGAAGGTAGAACTCCAAGTTCTATCTTCCTTGGGAGGTCCTTGGGAGAAATGACCATGCTCCTCTGTTACTCAGCCTACTCACATTTCTTTCCTTTTTATGAAAGTGAATTCTGAAAGGGTGATGAAAAGAAGCCTCAGGAAAAGCTCTCAAGTCCCACTCTTCTAGAGGCAAAGGTTTGTTTCTTAATCTGAGAGGTTCTAGTATCCTCGGTGGTGAATGTGGTTGTGTTTTACTCAAGTTTAATCTCATGTCAATTAAGATCATCTACACCTAGTATCAGGGCCAAAGGAGGAGGCACAGAGCATGCACCATGCGAGTTGAAAGAACTGTCAGAAACTTGCAGTGCTAAAACTTGACCTTTTTATCCACCCAAGGGTTAGCTAATGCAACACACATCAGAGAAAACACAGGGCATTCCCAGTATCTTAACTATTACCACAGTAATCACACTTAACTCTCGGGCAAGCTTAGCACATACCTATATCAATCATTAGCAATAAAAGGCAGTACTTATTCAGTGTGGTCAGATACTGTACAAAGCTTGTTGTTTGCCCTATGGTTATTTTTCTAATCGGGTTTTACATTTTCAAAATGAAATCATCTACTAAAATTTGAGGGGGGAAATGACCTGCTCTTCCACAATCTGCCTTGTAAGCTTACAAGCAGGTGAGGATGGACCCAGCACATTAAAGTTGTAAGACATGCTGCAACAGGCAGGTTACTGGGCAATAAATTTCCCCTCCTCTATTTATAAAGTTGTCCGTGTATTTTATTGTCCACATGCACCGTCTTTTTTGTGGTCTGCTAAGAGACGATTACAAAATTTCCTATTTCCACATCCTTCTTTATCATCACTGAAGATTTACCAACAGATGGCGTCTTGCAGAATTTGGATCAAAGCTTGACAGAAATAAGTCACTGGGCTTAACAGTTCAGTGTGTGGGATAAGCATTACTTCCTATGTTTAAGGTTGCTTGTTTTAAACTAACTCTGCTGAGCATAAAGAAGAAAAGCTTATTAAATCTCTTACCAGAAAAGCCTGAAACACATGGGTGGGTCTTCAAAAGCTACTGGGATGGCTTCCACTGCACTCATCTCCAGGACAGCATGTTTAGCACAAGATGCCTTTCTGCTGGCTCACGGCTGAAAACCACAGCTATTTTGCTCACACTAGGACCTTGGACAGATCCTAATGCTCTTGGAAGCCTTCTTGGCTACGAAGGTCACCGCACAGCCAACATGCCCTTCACAGGATGCTTCCCTGATACCAATATTTTTTAGTGCATTGAGAAGCCTATTGTGGTTGCGAAACCCCCAGGAGCAGAGCAGGTCGTGGGGAATTGAGCTGTAGGAAACGTCAGCAGCTCTGCCTCCCACGGCACTGTTGCTGTCTCCGATGCTGGCATGATTCATTACTGCTAGTATAACTGCTCCCATTTAAGATATTTAAATACCTCAGGAGTGGCAGTGCTAGAGATGTCCAAGGCAAGCACCAGTTTCATTGGACATACTGGGCATCTTCTTTTTCCTAGACAGTAGGAGGGAAAAAAAAAAGTTAATAAATCATTTATTTCCCTTGCATCATAGATAGAGAGAACAATGTATATAAAGTGACATACTGCTAAACAAAGCATGCGCCCTTTGCACTGCACCTCAAGGGTGCAGATAAAAGTCTATCCAAGTTTATCTTGAAGGTAGCCACAGATTCCTTGTTCTACTGAAGGTGTTTTATAAAGATATATGAAAAACAATGCTAAATTAGGTTTACCTTTTTTCTCAGATGAGGTGCAGCGCAAAGTGTGGAAGTGGCTTTTTCAGCATTGCCCAAACAGGCCAAGGGAAGTGGCTGGAGTAGAACATGATCTTCTGCTCGGCTCAAATTCCAGCTCTGTATGGAAGGGAGCAGCACCGGCAGCCCAGCTCGGAGGTAGCAGGACGGGAGGTGGCTCCAGCCCAGGGCTTCAGTGACCTCCTGGCTGACCCCCAGCCTGCCCTGCTCCTTGCCTGGACACTGGGACAGGCTCTTCTTGAGGGCACTGCCCAGTCTGCCTTGTTGCCCTCTGCTCCTGGCCTCGCTGCTCCTGTCATGGGAAAAGAGATCTCCTATCCAACTGTGGATGCATGGAGAAAACAAAAAAAGAAGGAAACACACAAGAATTTGGGGAAAATAGGACACAAATAATTGAGAAATAATTGAGGATCATCACAACTCTCTTAAAATAAATAGATTTCTTCTATTATCTCTCTCTATATATATATATATATTTAATCTAAAAGACACAAAGAAAGTCTGAAATAGCAGGTAAGACATTCAGAAATGGTTATTGCTTCTGTATGGTGCAACATACCCTGGAACGGAGTATGGACAAGATCAGCAGCCTTTGAAAATCAAAGGCACAACACTTAAAATCAATCCAAGGGTGCAACCAGCACATCAGGCAGACCTCTATTAAAAACAGTCCATAAAAGAATGACCTATGGTAAGGGACTTGCCAGTTTTTCTCCATACCCTTTTGATACGTGTTTTCCTGCAACTTCTTTGTCCTTCGCTTCACCCTAGTGAAGAAAAAAAAAAAATCCTAGCAAGAAATATATAAAAACAGGCTCTTCTGATAAAAATGAGAACTTCTGAAGAAATTGTGACAATATTTTCCCAATGAAATAAATGCATGTGAAAGGCTGTGCAGACGAAAAATTAGACATTGACCCATACAAAAGATAAAAACCCACCTACCAGGGAAACAGAAAATAAGAAGCAGCTGTTACTTATAATTATAGTAGCCAAGGATAACAGAAAATCTTACAAAAAACTCACATGTGGAAGCACTTTTCTCTCTAATCTGTCAAAGTCACACTGTTGGCTGCAGTGTTTTCTCATTTCATAATAACTACCGTAGCAGCAGGGCAGCCTCTAAAATGTGATTTATCTGCTTGGTCACCAAGCCACAAGCTGATTTCCCAACAGAGCAGTAGAGAACTGGTAGGTAGTTCAGTTCCTATAACAAGCCTATATATATTATATATACATATTTTTTTCATCTGTATAATCAGTTTAAGCGAAACAGGATCATGCTGTAATTGCTGTTCAAGCAAAAACATTGGAGAAGATATTAACCAGCAGTTTCCAGCAAGGACACTGAAGACATGTAGTGATTTCAATAAGAACAAGAACTTCAAATTCAGTTTGGAAAAAAAGAAAAATCTTAAATGATTGTTTGACCTGTATCATTGTGTCAATATAAACTTTGATGAAGAGACTCCATAAAGAGCAAATCTACTGTCTCTTCTGACTGTAGGAGAGACAAAGGCAAATGATTAACAGGTAAATTTTCAGGTGAAATCATTTCAATCCGGGCCCTTTCCCTCAAGTTAGGGCTCATGTAGGAAATTGGGGACTTCCTTCTCCATGTTTTTGTAAAAGTTGCTCCTTCATCTAGCAACCAGCATCAGATTTTTATTCCTAGCAAAATGTCTGTCCTATTTTAATGTAGTATTCCCTGGCTGGAAAGGGTGATATTGAAATGCAGTGCTTCAGCAGCATACGCTATGGTCTACAAAGTAATAAAACTCCTTTAACAAGCCCAAATTCTACTTTTCAACCATGTAAAAGAAGTCATGGTGGAAGGATTTCCATCTTGCACATGTGTAATGATATACAGACAATAGTTTCAATGGCCTTTACTAATCACAATATCCCCTTTACTGAATGTCCCTCCCAATAACTCTTGCAACTGCAAGAGCTGCATCTTGCTCACAACCATTTTTTTTTTTTCAATGTTAGGAAATCTGTAATGCTCTATTCATGCACAGATGGTCTTGATTCTTGATTTCTCTCCATGATCAACCACAAAACAAGATGTGAGACTATTAAAGTCAAGTTTGATTATCAGCTAGTAACCAAAACAAAGCAAAAATAAATCACAGAAATCATTTCCCATCCTTCACAGAAATTCTTTACTTATCCTTTAAATATTTCTTTCAGGCTCAGATCTGTCTGGTCCAGTAAACGTGGCAAGAGTAGGAAATGTCCAGCCTGGATTCCTTGTATCACTGGCTACGAGTGATATCAGAAAACAGAAATTTAAAGGTTTCAGCCCAGGCTATAGCTCTCATACACCAGCTGTCATACTTACCCCTGGCTACCAGGCCCACTGAGTTGCTGTGTCCCTGCTCCAAAACAACCAGCTAGTCTCTTCACAGGCAGCCTCCTCCTTGTTTTGGGATGGGGAAAAGAAAGGAGAGACAACTGAAAGAAGAGAGGTCATCATTCCCTGCCTGCTATTCACTCAGTTAAGGCTTTTGGGTAGAGCAGATTGCTACAATGAGACCACACTTGCTCAGCAGGTGATCCCAATCAACCCAAAGCCCTGCAGAGAGGGCTGGTTTCTGCTTTTGATAATATGGAAAACCTGGGCAAAGAGGAGCATTGATGAAAGAGGACCATATGGCATGTTGAGATGGATGTTTCCTCCAATCCGAGGAAACTACTTTTGTTGAGAAGCTTATAGCACCTATAAGGGTATGTTAGCCTAGAATATAGTAGCCCTACTGCACTCGTGGTGCTTGTTCCTGATAGCAATAATAATTTCCCATGATGTTGTTCTTTTGAACAACTATGCAGCTAAAGTGACTATTCACTCTGTAGGATCTCAAATATATCTTTTTCTTTCTGTTGGTTACCAGACTGGGGATCCTCTGCTGTGTTCCTGGGCAAAGCCTGACTTTTCAGTGAGAGTCCTGGCAGTGCTGGAAAGGAGGATGTTTGATTTTGCTCTGTGATTTTTGCAAGGTATGCAAAATCACTCAACCTTAGAGCAGTAATAATGTGGGTTTTTTTTGCCAGTAGGAGCAAAGGTGTGAGTAGCACCTAGGAACAGCATCATGAAAGTCTCATGAGAGCAAGTGAAAGGAAATGGTGCTGCTCTAAATATTTTGATGCTTTCTCTAAAACTACAAAAAGCCACATTTCTTTCTCTTCCTGACCACAGTGGTAAAACACAGTCTCTTGAGAGCTAGCACTCAATTCCTGCCTTCTACAGAAAAGCACCCAAAAAACTTACATTGACAAATATCTTTAGAGTCACTGGGGGCAGTAAATGCCCAGGATGGCTGCAAGATGGACATCTCTGGGTCCCAGATCTGGAAATTTTGTCATCTGGCTCTATAGGAAATCTTTGCTGTCCCTTCAGGTACCTGAAATGGGATACTGTGTTCCATGTAACTTGTTTAATCTTGTCTTTTACTGCTATTTCACATATGAGGCAAAATTCCAGGGACTCTCCAGCAACCTCTGTAGATTTGCTCTAGATTTACAGCATAACTGAGAACATTGTTTGGCCCACATTTGCTTTACAAGAGCTTGCAGTATCAATGAAATCTCAAGTAACATTTGAAAGAGTAAGTATGAACCGTGCTTGTTTAACTTCATGGCAGCTGCTCCCGGAGGCTGTTTGAGGTTGCTGATGCTCTGTCCCGTGGTTAGGACTAATCTTGTAACATTGGCAGTGCCCACGTTTTCCAGTCTTGACCAGACTGACTGGGGCATGGGGTGTTGCAAGGTCATGCAGACGTATGTCGGCAAAGAAAAGTGACTGCTCATACACTCAGTGGCTCTGAATACCTTATTAACAACGTGGGTTTTTTTTCTGACCTTGCTGTGCTGTATTTTTGGATGAAAATTCCATTAATTTCATCTTAAAAAGTACAATCTGTAATTCATGTGTTACACTGCAGTGACTTCTTGGAAATCAAAAACCTGTACAGACAACAGTTGACTGAAAGCTGCAGTTACTTAATTTAAGATTAAAAGTGGATGCTCTAATGGGAAAGCATTGGCTTGCACATCTAGAGTGAGTCTTTATTGTTATTCAAAAATATGTGTGTAGCTGTAAACAATTTTTAGGGTTGGGATTTTTTTTCTAAATGCAATATGCTACTCTCAGTTTTATTTCCACATCAGATTGCCAGAGGATGGTGTTGTAGAATACAGAAAATAATCCTTTTTAAAACAATTCCACAGGGGGATGGGATTAATAGCAACGATCAAGTCTTTAGCTCCTTGCATTTCAGACGATTTTGCACCATGATAAATGCAACTTGCTGGTAAATTAGAGCCTTGGTTTCTGGATATGTAGCCCTGCCTCATCCTTGCCAAGCTACCCCAGAGCCCAGAACGCACCCTAGATCAGCAGCAGCTGGGGCAGTAGTCACGTAAGCTGCATCAGCTTCATTCATGGACCTCACCCAACATCTGTTGGGCAGTTTCTATTGGCTTTCAGGAAGATATGTTGACTTACAACATGACATTTCTGAGAGAGAATTTTTCATAAGCTTATAAAATAACTTGCATTGGAATATAGCCTCTGAATTTTACTGCTGGTTTTATTTATTACTAAAAATCAGTGCTTATTTGTCACTGAGCATTTGGCTGAGCCATTATGGAGTGCAACAGTGATCAGTTCTTAGAAGGAAAAAACCATAGATTTCATAGTGTTTCATACTATCCTGTCTGTCTGCCGACATTAATCTCCCCTTACTCTCCAAAGGCAGGGCCTGGGAACTCCTCCCATCTTTCCTGCAAGGAAGCACTGTCAATGTGTTCTGCCTTTGTCACTTTAGGAGACACATCAGAGAGCTCTGAGGCAGTTTCAAAGCTTCCACTGAAGACTTTCTGTGCAGGGGACAACGGCTGGTCAATGTCACAGGATGCTAGCAAAGAAAATCATCTCTGTCCCTGAATGAGCCAGCTTGATGTAGACCAGAGTCTCCAGGACTCGCTGAGCAAGCACCACACGTTTCTGCTTCCCTTTCAGCATATAGGACATTGGCACTTCTTCCACAGCACAGGCCTGCAGCAAGACCAACCTGTGGATTGACCAGCTGGAAGAAGCTGCGCCTTCCAAACAGGCCAGGAATGGCGCTGCTGAAAGAGTATGTAGAAGAACTTGTAGCCATGATTGAGTGAATTGAATTAACTCTTCTCACTATTATTTAAGGCGATTTAAGAACCATAGGAAGAAGTGTTGGTATAGCAAGATTTGCCGGTAATGCTTCCTGTCACATTTACTTGGCTAGGAGACTGCCAAGCTACCTGATTCTGGATTCTAAAGCTACCTGATTCTGGTCCAGCTTTGGCCCCCAAATTTGGGTATTTAATGTAAACTAAGGCAATAAAATATAGACATAAAGCCATTGGCTCTTACGAAACTCCAGCAGGGATACAGCAGTGTTCTTGTCTTTGAGCAATATCTGCTCATTATCTGCTAGGTTCAGGAGTATGGTGGAATCCTTGCTCTCCCTTGTAATGCACCCAAGTTAATTATTTGTTCATACGTTTTCAGTTCAGTGCAGGCTATAAGGAAAGCTGGAAGTTGGAAAGATGCAATGCACTGCTTGTACCTAGAAGGAGTCTTAATTAAGACACCAAATAATCTTTGTTTTTCACAACCACGTACCATATTTCTCAAGTGAGTTGACAATTGCCTTCCACTAGGCAAACTCCAGAGCTAGTTTCAAGATAAAAGGTGTAGGGAGAGGACCTTGGAAGTAATCCTCAATCCTAAGGACTTGAAAACTGAACTGATAACAGATATTCCTGAACAGGTATTCCCCTCATTCAAAGGAAGGAATAGCTTGGGCAGAAGCAGGACTTAAGCATGCGTCTCAGCACTATCCAACTCCTGTAAAACAGTGGCTGCACACTACGGAGATATCTGTTCTCCAGGAAGCGTGTTCAGGTTTGATACGAGGAGGACTTAGGCCAACTGCCTCTAAGCTCACTGGGCTCTTTCCTCTGGCTTCAAGTGAGAGACTTGGGTGTGAAGTGCAGCTCCTGCTAACTCGCAGAGTGCTGGAGAGGAGCACTGCTGCGCAGGGCTGCCAGACACAGCACAGCTGCATTCAGACACTGTCGGTCTCCGTCCTCCTTCCACTTCATGAGAAAGCAAATTCCAAGAGCAAAGTGCATGCCAGGTCAGAGAGCGAAAAATCAGGGATTCAGAGCACAACACCCTGTTTCTAGCATCAATGTGACAAGTGGGCAAAAGTGACCTTGCCTAACCTTTGGTAGTGTAGGAAAGGGGCTGATACTGTTTTACAGGTGAGGAAGCAGCCTATAAAAAATATGATGACAGCTGTTTGAAGAACTAATGGCACACATATTTCAAAAAGAATGATTTTATTCACATATTGGATTACTTAAAAAAAAAAAAAACTGAGAATGATTCTAAGGTAGAAAAATTCTCTGCATCAATGCAAAGCAAGCTGTGACAATTGCATGTCCTTTGAGAGAAAGGCTTTCTGGTACTTTCCCTAAGCCGGATAAATGCAAGCGAATCAAAATATTGTAACATTATTTTCTTCCATCCAACATCACTTCATGAAAATGAGGTATTATTTTATTCAGAACATTTTAAAAGTGCACATTTTGTTGTTTATGGAAGAAAGTCAGGTTTCTGTATTTTAATCCCTTTTAAACAGTACACTATTGGCTATGAAAGCAATTTCCTCACTTTCTATCTTCTTTTACATCAGATCAACTGAGCAATACTTTGAACTTTATTTTCATGAGTAAGTTACTAGATTAAAAACTTAGCTAAGAAGTATTTCTCTCACCTGAAATCTCTGAGACATGCAGTTAGTGTTAAGCGTTTCCTTTTGAGCTCTTCTCCCCATCATCCTGATAGTGTAACTGAAGAATTAATTTAACTCTCTCTGCACTAAAAAGATCCTATACACAACACTTTGCATTCATCTTCTGTTTCAAATCTATTTTTGTTTCCTCCGCAGCCCCCATACCAGAACGGATCACACGTGTTCTGCCACTTGTTGTAGGACCACTTCAGAACGTAGTCCTGACATTCTCCGCTGTCCTGAGGCAGGTCACATGTATCTGGAAAAGGCAAATAGGAAATAGAGTTAATGAAAGAAAGAACTACCTTCCTCAGCATTGGATTTTCAGTGAAAAGCAACATTCAGGGCAAATGAGGAATGTAGTTGGTGTTCGAGGTCTTTCAAAGATTCACTACGTAGCCACCCACTCTCCCACAGCACAAAGGTGGCCATGAGGCTCTTCTCACTCTGACTGATCTGATCAGAAGGAATCACTGAAAAAAGTAGGTTCTCAGTGTCATAAACCAAAGGAAAAAATGAGAAAAAAGGAAAAGTGCTTAGTCTTCTAACAGAATTTTTCTAAAATTATTGTAAAATGAAGTTAGCACAAACTGCTCTTCAAGCTTTACAGAATGCCCTTCTGCTTTAATCCCAGTTTTTGTCTCCGTATTTTTCAGTAAATTTCATAAGCAAGAATATGTGGATATTTAAATCTAAGCCAAATCCCAAGTTCATATAGAGTTAAACTGTAAAAAATTGCCAAAATTAAGGTGAAAGTAGTACTGCTTGCAGCAATGTGGTATTCAGTGAGTAAGGATGTAATCAGTTTTTAATGATGTGAATTCAGAGTTGTTCAAATGAAGTCAGAAGAGTGGGGCATCAAAAAGAAAGCAATAGAAAGGAAGGCAAAATATTGAAAAACCACCCAATTTCGAGATACAAAATAATACAGCTTAGCAGCTTAGGTTGCACAACTGAATATGATCACATGGCACCACAAAGCTTTGGAAGATTTACTGAATGGATCTACTCCACACTGAGTAAACACTGAAATGACCCTTTGCAACTGAGAGTCTTTCTACTGAATTCAAAGATCTTTCCATGCTCTAAAATCATACCAGGAACATTATAGGCAGTGGTGGTTTCTATTGTTGCCTCTAAGTTTTCCTCATTCTCCTCCTGAGCTTCTCCATATTCTTGTGGTGCTTCTTCACCACTTTCTTCTGTGAAATTCTCATTCTCTTCATAATCATACTCCATCTTTGGCAGCGCAGGTGCAAGTTGGGTGTTAGTTCTTATGGTTTCCTCCAGGGTTCTATTTTCAGTTGATGCCACTTCTTCCAGAACGCGACTGTAATCAGTTTCATCTGAGCCAGGAAAAGGAACCCTTTACAATGAGGAAAAAAAGGGAGCGTTATGCACTAACATGGCCTTAAAAATGCATCTTGCTTATTCTCTCTGAATAGTATGAAACGCTTCTTTTGTCCTGCTACTGCTACTGTTAAAGATGGTTGGAATGCAAGTACTAACTGAATGGGAGAAAATTCTATACTGAGATATAAGTGTAAATAGACAGTTTTATCCCATACATGTTGAAAAACTTCACTAGGCAGTTCCTTACCTTTCAATAATGGATGTTTGCTGTTGTGCGTCTCCCCGATCTAAGTTTTCACACTCTTCCTGAAGTTCAGGAGAAGGGTAATTGTTCATTTCCTCTGTGGGGAAAGCACAAGAAGCAACAGCTGAGGTTCAAAGTCACATGACATGCGACTTTACATACGACTAACATAGGACACCTAGCATACAACCGGTACTAGGCCTAGGGGAATAAAAATGATGCAATAGATCCAGTCTTTGCAATACACTGTTTATCCCTCTATGGAAACTTTGGTGCCTGTAAGTATGACCTTTTGATGAGAATTTTAAATCAGGAATATCTCCATCCTTCATGTTTATCTTGTATATATTTCAAAAAACCAAGAACTGCTAATCTGTATGTATGTGTCCTGGAAAGTTCAAAAGTTCTTTCTCTGCTCTACAGAGGAGGAATTACCGCAGTAAAGAGAGGTTAAGGTCAGATCAACTAGGTATTTGAGCTAAAAAAAGAGAACTAAACAACAGTAAGTAGGTGAGTAAATCTGGACCTGCCGCTAGTCAGAGGACAAAGCCTAATTCAGTCTTACATTAAATTGAAACTAATGGAGATTATATTTTAATAGTGCCTTAGGTTCAGTCTTAAAATAAATGTATATATTGTTCTGCAGTTACTGGCATTTCTGTTAGTATCTAGCATCCGCTGTGAACTACAGTTGAAAGAACAACTAGTTAGATTATGACTAGGAACCGAACGGCAGTGGATGCACTGACCACCTTTGTCTAAACTGCATTTCTCACCCTTCCCACAAGACAAGCAGGCTCTGCTGGCTGCTACTCACGCTGCAGGAGACTGAGGAAGGCCCGGCTAAAGCGCTGCGCGTAGGCCAGCTCAGATGTCGAAACCCTGCCCAGGGAGAGCGAGTGCTGCTCCACAGGGGAGCTGGACAGCTCTGTGAGCTCCCAGTCACTCACACCACTGCCAAGCGCTAAAGTGAACACGGTGAATCCTCGGCACTTGGCTCCAAGTGAAATCTCTCTCAGCCTCTCTCTGTCCCACTTGCTTGTTTGGCTTCCAAGTATTGTGAATATGACCCTGTGCTTTCTCTGCATGGGAGCCTTAAAAAATACGTTCTCAACTGTCCACTGTAATGCAGAAGCAACGGCTGACGGTCCTTCCAGTTGGCGAACAGACTCTTGGATATGTTTCTTCATCGAATCTTTATTGCTGTAGGTGACTAGATCAAACTCCAGGGCCACGGGGCTTTGGCTTCTGCCAGGTAGGAAGCCTCTGGGAGCCTGTTGCACCAGTGCCACTCGGGTGCCACCAGGTGACTCGCGTGGTTGGGGGGTGATGACAAACTGATCTAGCATGTTGTGCACAAAGTCTTTGGCTTTCTGAAACTCTTCCCTGCCAACGCTGGAAGAGCTGTCCATGATATAAGCGATATCCACATCCACAGGAACAGGAGGGGGAATGGAAAC